CAAGAAAGAGTTTTACTGTCGCCCTCAGGCTCATCCCGGCGGTGGTCACCCCCTACATATTCAATGAACGCGACAATGCCCCACCCCCCTGTACATCAATCAATGCCGCGCTGCAACCGCAAGTTAAGATCACGTGACTCGCTTGACCTCCTGCTATTGGTCGGTTACATAGAGACGGTGTGGAAATTTACACAGCCACTCCGCACACGCTGTTTAATCTTCCACACGTGGAAGAAAATATCAAACACGTGTGATATTTTCCACACGCCACAGATCGATGCATTTTGCATGCGCACACGATGTGGAACGCGCTGCGCCACACTTCGGTTACTCGCTCTTCAAAATTATATTCCTATATTCCTATATTTAACTTGTGAAAAAAAATGATATTCCTGCCTACCCATGTTTTTGCAGGAAAGAAAAAATGTTATACCTACCGACCTACCCTAATTTTCAAAATCCATGTGACCCGAACCAAAGGTATTTTTTTGTTTGGCCTAATAAGCATGGGAAAAAACTGTTACGTATGACATTTATATGACAGCACAACCCAACTTAGAACCCCAGGGACATAATAGTAATATGGTGTAAATGAGAAAAAGTTATTATAACAGCATGTACGAATGGGTTGCACTTTTCATTTGAAAGCCTCTTGATAAACAATGTTTTTCATCTTATTCTCTGGTGCAAATATGTAGAGATTCCTGGCGTCTCCAACTCTTGAGCTCCCCACGTACAGCTATCCATTGTCAGATCGTACCATGAATAAAAGAAATTCCATATATAGTATAGATAGAGACAGGCAAGCGAGTGAGGTCTGTGTCCACTGGATATTGTCTAGTGAATGCTTGGCGCGCAATCATGCACATTGAAATTAAAAATTTTTTCTACTGAATCAGAAAATGCATAGCTTTCGAATGGTACAATGCATTCTGAGATCGTAGTATCTCAACTCAACCTCTCAACTCAGTGAGTAGTACCTCTGAACTGGTCCTGGTTGTGCTCTGTTTTAGTATTGGTTTCGGTTTCACAATACCAGCAGCTGATGAGATGAGGGAAATAAATACTCGTCGATTTTTCTGTGTGTGGCAGCGCTGTACAGTGAGTGCTGACATTGTCTGAAGTTTCACAAATTCACGGATTTTTGGCAGATTTTTGGGTGAGTTTGACGGATTTTTTTCGTCTAGGAACACTCCTCGGGTATAGGAAATCGCCCTCTGAAAATTGCATCCAGATCGCTTGGGCGGTTTGGCCGGCCATAGGGTATGATACATACATACATACATACATACATACATACGAACTCAAATATAGATTAGATACACCCCTTTGTGCGTGTGTGACCGTACAGACAGTGAGGATACCTGTTGCGGCATCATGACTGGCATCATCGGAGGCGGCATGCCCGGGGGCATCCCCGGAGGCATCCCGATCGACATCGGCATCGGGATCGACTGAGGCATCATGGGCATGGGCATCCCCGCGGCCGGTGCTGCCCTCTCCTGCTGCTGCCTGTAAACGCAATCATCGTAAAATATCATTTGAATACATGTTCGTATATATGCCGAGGTAGAAATGCTACCTTGTCCATTGTCAGAATATGTAAACCATGTTTAGCGTATGGCGTCTAGTGGTCTGATGACGTATTAGCATGTGGGGTGGGGCGGCGAAAAGAGAGCGTGAGAAAGGGGCGGCGACGGGATGGAGGGAAGATATGTACGGAGTGTCGAGATAGATTGTTGAGTGAATAAATCGTCGAGTGAATAGATGTCGAGTGGACAGATTGTCAAGTATATAGAGTGTAGAATGGATCGTCGCCTACAGAGAACCGACACAGGCGCGTCTGGCGCAAAGGTTGCATCGAGATTTCGCAACAGCAATGTTGTGTTATACGCACATGACGCACACGCGCACAATCCCTGCATGAGTTAGCGACGCATTCTCTCACAACGTAAGTCAGCTACGAATCTTCCATGGTGCGATGCTATTACCTCGACGCTAGCACAGAATTTTCTGCGCAAATTCCTTACAAATCGTATTATCCAGATTGGAATAATAAATCGATAAACCAGTGAACACGAGGAGAGCTTGGATAGATGCCGGCATGCACGACTGTGGTCCCTTTGTAATATTTTATGTTAAATGGAGGCACTTACTGCAAGGTATTGTCATGTGCTGCCTCTAACTGTGTTGCCTTTGCTGAAAGCAGAGAATCAACAGGATGAATAGGCAGTTAGGGTGTTGTTCACTATATTAGTTATTAGGGGTGAGACAATACAGGTCACTCATGATACGATCCATATCACGACACATTTTTCACGATAGTTTGAAGAGACACTACATAAAAATCTATACACTAATTCGTGCTCTACCGATTATGTGAATACTTACAAATCAGTATCATAGAGCACTTAATAAACAACTGCTATTGAACTGTGAATTGTGTAATGCTTTTTTTGTTTTCTGATGAAACTATGCTACAATATATCATGAATTATACTTAGTAGTAAAGTATCGATATGTGTATCGTGAATAGTCGAAGGAATCAATACATGTATTGTCAAAGTTTATATTATGATACACTGATCGTGAACCATCTCGATAGAACTGACATCTATGTCCAAGTCTAATCAAAGTGTCTATAAAGGACAGTTTTGGCATTACCCTACAGTGATCTCAACGTGCAGGTTTAATTAGTTACAGTAAATTACGTACAGGTCAGTGAAATGACATGAAATGAGGCGGGAAAACGCACATTTTATTTCTTCCAGTTCTTTTGGAATCGTCCAGGTTGATTCTTTCGTTTCAACGTTGTGATAGTAGACCTTAGCACTGTCGGTTCTGTGCTCCTTCCAGGGACACTTTGACAATAAACGCTGTAAAATGTGAGACCGAAGAGAATTTTTATAATCTACTTAATCCTGACAGCATCACAGAAAACAAAACATAGGACAAGAAGCATCGATAACAAAACAGATGTTAACTAGGTGTTCGCGCATATTCTTTTTAGTAGTTTCATTTTGTTTCATGTTTTCCACAACATCTCATTTCACACCTCAATCAGAATGCTTCAAACGTCAGCCATATACAAGAATATATATATACACACAATATACATAAGGATATAAATAATACCAAAAACTACCCCACACAGCTGCCACACCCGATATAACCCCGACAAAACGGGATCGTCGTTGCTAATGGGTAAAGAATTGGATTAGAAAAACAGGTAATGCTATGGATGGAAAATGTGCTTCGTATATCTGTACCTCTGCTGGGGTCTTCAGATCATCTGGTTTCTCCCACAGCGACTGTTTCGTCTGGTTGTTATAGAAATAAGTGCGGCCGTCAGGAGCTTTGTGCTCGGTCCAGCTTTTCTGCACCGAAAACACGAGCAAATTCAATAATGAACGACGCGCGAACAACGCATCGAATGGCGAGAACACGTGCGAACTCTGTGGAACTCTCCTCCCTATGAGCTGTGCAGTGCGAGGTGCGTGGGTACGTGGCTACCTGTAGACAGGTACGTCACTGTAGGTGTAACGTGAGCATGCATTATTTCGCCATGCGAGTGTGCCGCTCACCTTTTCTGTCTTCGCCGTTTGCGGCTGAGCTTGCTGTATGATTTGTGACGAGGGCTTGAAAAATAGCAACAGATCAAATGATCAAGATGATGTCTGTGACATTTAACGCCCTCCCATCACCCATGCAACCGATCTGGGCCCTTCGCCCTTACCCATGCAGAATATTTGAACTCCTCACCCACTCTTAGCTAAATCACCATAGATTTAGGGTGAAGCAATCTGAAACGCTGTGACGTATCCACGCAAACTTCAGTAACTCGTGTTGAGGATTAAGCATATATGCAGATGAACATGCATTACCTGTGAAGATGACATCATCTGTTCTGCTGCTCCGCTGGTAAACCCAGCCATTGACGTAGCTACAAAGACACAAGGCAACAACGACCGTGTGACAACTCACGTCCGAACCATGGTAGATACCAAAGACATTTATTTGTGTACATTTAATTATGGAAGTCTTGTAAAAAGAACAATTTTTCCAACATATGGGTAGTTAGCATAAATGTAGAGCTTCCATTATCATTGCACTTGTCAAAGAACACACGCCTATGTCGTGAAACACACGCCCGTGTTATACGACGTGTCTGTGTCATGGAACACATACCCTCGTCATGGTACGCATGCCCGTGTCATAGAACACATGCTCTCATCACGCAACATTTTCCTGTGTCACAGAACTTTGCCACGGAACGTGTACCCCAGGACACATTGCACTGATACCTGCGTTGGGAGCTCCCGAAGCGGCGCTCGTGGGCGGTGCTGAAAACGTAGCCCGCGACATTGCCATGCCGGGCTGAAAGCGCGGCGGGGGCTGCTGTGACTGCGGGAATCCCTGTCGCATCGGCCCTCCCGGTCCCGACATGCCGGGAGGCATCATGTCCGGCCCCGGACCTCTCCAGCCAGGTGGAGGACCCCTCATCTACATTAACACGAGAGAAGGCGAGCTGGTTGATGAGCAACTGATGGAAATCGTTAACAGAGCAGCAACAGGAAATAGAGAACAAATGGATGATGTTTCAGTACTCGAGATTAGATATTCGGGTGGTCGAATGTGCATTACACTAACATCCTCTGTGCTAACGTGTGATAACATGAATTATAAATTATGTACTCTATCTACCTATCTAGTATCTACCCACCTACCTATCTACCTATCTATAGTATCTACCCACCTACCTATCTATCTATCTATCTGACCATCCATCCATTCGTCCATCCATCCATTCACTCATCCATCTAGCTAGCTAGTTATCTATCTATTTATTTATCTATATTTCATAGTATGAACTTACAAATGGAGGCAGAGGGGGCATCATTAGGGGTTGTCTCTGCTGCCCGTTTCCTTCCATTTGGTTGTTGGAATCCTATCAAAAACGACAAACATCTGAGCCAGGGGCGAGATGCAACAACACACGATAATCACACGGCAACATTGGACTAGCCTCACCTCACGCTGTAGGCCTACCACTACCAGTACCAAGGAGCTATATATATTTTAGCTCCTTGACCAGTATCAGTGCCACTGGCACTACCAGTGCCCTGGCACTGTACCACTACCCCTAGCTCTAGTACTATAGCCCGCGTACATTGACTGCCGCAGGGCTATAGAACATTGTTGGCTGGATTTTGCAGCAACACCGGGTCCCGACAGGTCCCACTCAAAATGGCTTACAAAACGGAAAATGATCGGGCTTTTTAACACTTATTTATCTACATGGACATCTCACCTATCTTTTTGAACCCTTTCCAGGGAATAATTTTCCCGGTATCGCATCGCAATTCGCGATGTATTTTCAGCCATTTGCTACGCATATATTTTTATGAATCGCAGTTGTGCGATGCAGCCCATGCGAGATGTAAACGGAAACATACATGTTTACAATTTACTTTTATTCTCGGGCTGCTTTGCCCCATCAATGAAATGCCACGTTACGCCGATTTTATTGACTTGTTAACACCAAGGCCAACGTGACTTTTAAACAATCCTGCACTCCCCCCCCTCCCCGTACATCAATCAATATGCCGCCCCAGGCACGTATACACAGCCACGCTGTGCTGGCGCTGCACGCTCTCGCGGGCTGCTTTCTTCGGGGACCTTTGATAATATAAAGTGAGGATGTCGTGGTCGAGGAGTCGGATAGCTGCCCTTCACAATCGCTAGAACTGTATTTCATCAATGTTTGGATATATAACGTAAGGAACCAACATTTGATTAAAGTTTTAGACAATTATTTTTACTCGCCAACATGGGCGAGTCAGCTTTAGCTTTCACTCGCCCGGCCCGATATTATTTTCACTCGACATTGGCGAGCGGGCGTGTCAAGCTCGCACGCTGTTTAAACGCTGCCGGGCAGCGTACAGAATCGCTAGTGTGTCCTAGGCTTAAGCTAGCTGTGCCTGTCACAGGCCGACACGATAACACGCCAAGCATGCACTGCGGTGTAAATTTGCACTGTGATTGTCTGAAAAAAAATGCTATACAAATTTATCCAATTGCTCTGCAAAATTTATTTTGTATAGCACATTTGCTATGCAAATTTTTGGCTGGAAATTGTTCCCTGCTTTCCATAACTTTACACCATGTATTTATCCTTTTATAACTCAAAAGTCAGCACTACTGGCATTCCCGTTTCAAATATTCTGGCGTGCGAACGCGTGACGTCACCGGTATTGTACGATCGATGCACCATAGCTGCCATGTGTTTTGCTTACATATCCGGTAACGTCACGTGTTCGCACCCCAGAATATTTGAAACGGGAATGCCAGTAGTGCTGACTTTGAGTAATAAAAGGATAAATACATGGTGTAAAGTTGTGGAAAGGGTTCAAAAAGATAGGTGAGATGTCCATGTAGATAAATAAGTGTAAAAAAAAACGATCATTTTCCGTTTTGTGAGCCATTTTGAGTGGGACCTGTCGGGACCCGGTGTTGTTGCAAAATCCAGCCGACAATGTACGCGGGCTATAGGTGGCATATAACAGTAAGCGTCCGCGATTGTTCACCGTTGCACTATTTTGTCTCTAGAAAAGGCCTTTTTTGGCATTTTTTTTCGCCGAAATTCGGCACTAGAGTGCAATAATTAGCATTATGCACGCAAGTTGGATGCCTCGTGGACGTCGAGAAAGCATTAGAAGTAAAATTATTTTTGTTGTGTATTCGTGACATTCCGTCAGGTGGCGTAGTCACAGCGACCGGTTGGTGTTTTTTGTGTATGAAATGTGTTCAGACAACTTTGCAGAAATTCGCATCATAGAGCTGGCAAAAGTTTCGAGGGGAGCATAGAGCATGAATCTGTACTGTAGTTATTTAACAAGAATAAAGTGTATGTTTTGTAAGTGCAGTAAGAGTGTGAGTATTTTTAATTAATTTCTGTTCGATGCTTATTCAGGCCTGCAGCCTATGGACGGCCTCTACTGTTGTTCAACACCTATAGGCTATAGTACTACTAGTACTACTAGAGCTAGCTCTAGTACTATAGCCCGCGGATCGCTGCCGCAGGGCTATAGCACATGAGCGCATAGCTGTAATCTAAGCAAATGGTCGGACTGGTCTTAACAAAAATTTATCCCCAAAACGCAAAATGATCGGGCTTTTTAAC